TCACCGTTTTTCTTATTATTTGTTAATGTTTTCTTTAGTGGGAATATGATTTCAGAATTCTGTACCTAAAATAACACCGCAAATAAAGATATTATATATGTTTTGATTGGATTTGGGTGTATCTTTGGCATATTTGAACAATACTTTCTTTATGGAATACTCTAGGTTTTCCAAATTTAAGTTTAAAAATTCTAGATTATTTTTTTTTAATTATTCAGACTTAACAAAATTCGCAACCAAACCAAACAACGCTTGTATCGGCAATATATATTAGATATTGTAATATATTCCTTAATTGCATAATGTATTTCTTCATTATAAAATTAAATTTCTGTATACAAAATGATGTTACCTTATAGATTTATATCGTTTTTAATATTTAAAAAAAACGCGTCTCACAAACACAGCGATTATGAATCAGCATGATAAATAAAATTTTGGCGTACCTATTTAGTGTTTATACATATATTATTTAGTGTGATTACATGCTGAACGATGGTTTACCTCAAGGTTCTGTACTGGCGCCACTGTTTTTTAATATTTATACGTCGGACCTTCCGGAAACTTCGGCTAGAAAATTCATCTATGCTGACGATATTGTCTTAACCAGCGATTCTAAAGATATCCACATTTCCGAGAGCACTCTCGAAACAGATCTAGAGAGGATGAATGAATTCTTTGAATTTTTAAACATTTTTTTGTTAAAGAGGACCAGTTAATATGATCCCAGTATTCAAACTACATTAATTGGCCGTTTACGGTTTACGTTGATTAATAATAATTGCTCCAAATACTAAAAAACTGTATTTTTTATGTGTATTAGACAGTGTGGTAAAAAGTAACACCTTATAAATTTTATTTCATTTTTTGACAAATGCTTATTTATAACAACAGAGACGTTCATTTTCATAACTTATTATTGTGTCGATTTCAAGATCAAATCCACATTTTATTTAGTATAATTTATTAATTATAACAATTAAGTATAAGTAATTAACTAATTTTTAGGTGGAAATAATGGTGGTATATTAATAATTAATAATAATTGGTATACTCTTTTACAAAAATTTAAATTGTTTTCTTCTTGTAAACAAATGGGCTTGCAATATTATTATTTTTACCACCTGTGCAGTTTGTACATATTATGTTGCTTTAAATAAATCTAAAATGTCAATATTTCATGGGTATACTGATAAATGAGGTCCAAATTATTCCAAATTATAAGAAAATGCATTTTCTACGAAAACTTAAAGAGATAGGCAAAAAAACGGTATAATACAATTTGATAGACAATTAAATTGTGGATCTGATTCACGTAAAATATACAGGGTGTTCCATTTAAATTAAACAAGTTATTGCCGTTTCAAGCTAGTAATTATTTAATATAAATTTTTGGGCACTCTGTATAAGGTCATATATTTTTTATTATTGCAACACAATTTCTGATCAATAAATAATCTTCAGTAAATATTTAGTATTAAAACCTCTAATACCCTTGGAAAAATAAAGCTTTAAATTTTTTATTGCAATTTCACAAAATTGAAAATATTTCAAAAAGGGTAAGGTTTAAGTGTGATAAACTTTAATCAAATTTACCTTTATTTCAACCGTAGAATCTAAAAATAGAATAATATACAGGGTGTTCCATTAAAAAAAATACAACTATAATATCTTTTATTTATTTGGGACACTCTGTATCTTATAAAAATTATTTTTAAATTGTACCTCCAATAGTCCTACATCGTACCCAAAACTTACAATTTGTAAAAATATAATCGTTTAGCTACAATACTCCGTGTCGTATGTGCTTAACAACCCTGTATATTAGTGTTTTGTTCCTGTTGTTTATGCTTTTGTCCTACAGTATCGTATATCGTGATAGCATTCCTTCCAAGTTGGTTTCGTTCTTTAAGTATTGCTTACTCACTTACTCACTATCCTTCTCTCTCTTACTCACTCACTCACTCACTCTCTCTCTATGTAACTCACTCACTCACACTCTCTCTCTCTCACTTAATCACTCACTCACTCAATCACTCACTCACTCTCCCTCTACCTCTCACTCACTCACTCACTCACTCTCTATCATTCACTTACTCACTCACTCACACACTCTCTGTTTCTCTCTCTGTGTCTCTCACTTACTCTCTCTCTCCCACTCACTCTCTTTCTCGCTCACTCTCTTTCTCACACTCACTCATTCATCACTTCCCCACTCACTTTCTATCACTCACTTACTCACTCACTCACACACTCTCTTTCTCACACTCACTCACTCACCCACCCACTCTCTCTCTCTCTCTCACACTCACTCACTCACTTACTCACTCTTACTCACTCACTCAAATTGACTGGTTGCAGTGTAAAGCCTTAAATTTCGATGATACAATGGTGAAAAAAGAACTTTTGCAAATTGTTAGACAGCATAAGGCAAAGTTTAAAAAATTTGTAATCGATGAGATGGCAAAAGAGAGGTATTATTGTACTTCACTTACCCACTTACCATTATGAGCTGAACCGGTACAGAGCTTATATGGGCACAAGTCAAATGTTACGTTGCCAGGAACAACAAAATTTTTAAACTTCAAGAAGTACGGCAACTTTTGATGAATTCATTGGCGAATGTGAATGCCAAAAACTGGCAAAGCTGAAGAGAGGAAAATATGGGATCTTGACAACCTAATCGACGAAACTACAGAAAATAATTATTATTAACTTAGGACAAGACGATCTGCAGATTTCTCTGATAAAGCATTTAGTTAATAATGCTGTACGAGTATTATAGTTAAAGTATTGTTCACCTGCAATAATCTGTTAGGTTGCGTTAAGTTAGGTTACAAGAATATGTGTGTATATACATTTTAGTGCATAATTACCTTGTATTTTCATTATAATAATAATTATAATAAGCGTTAAGTAAAAATCATAAATAAACCCTGTTCTGCAACTATGGATCGTTTGCTTCATGTGCATTTTTATGGCTTCATTTGCATTTTGTTACCTATTCTTAGTTGACCAATTACCGGGTGGCCTGGGTCACAATTTCTTTCTTCTTCCAAGTCGCCATACATTTAGACTTGACATGATGTAGAATGTAGAATATTTAGGAAGGGGGACCGCGACCTTACAAATCTATTGTGTTCCCCTTTCTTGAGTTATAACTTATAACGGGTTATAACTCATTGTACAGTCTCAGGGCAACAAAAGCCAGCATCTGAGACGGCTCCACATAGGACAGCTCTCCATCTTCGACATCAGCCGTACCAAAATTTAAAATTTATGGCACGTTGTCGTCTTGATGCACTAAGTGATAAGGTGTTCTGGTGTTTCTCCATTTTCCCCACAGAATTTGCAATCGCCGTTGTTTCTCAACTTCAATCTACTGAGGTGTTCGTTAAGGAGACAGTGTCCTGTTAGAAGCCCTCTGTGACAACCCGGAGATTGTTCTTACCTAAATCAAGACATGATAGATAATGATGAGCGAGACTGGTCTTGGTCTTGAGAAAAAATTAAGAACAAGACTAGGGTTTGACCTGCAAGACCAAGACCAAGACCGACCAGTGCAAGACTTCCGCAAGACCAAGACCAAACATGCAAGACTCTTGCCGTCTTTTTTTTTCACGTTTATATGGTTTGAGAATTTACTTATTTGTTCAAAATTGTTATTTTAGTGTGGCTGCAACGACGCACGGTGGAGTATTAGCATGAAAAAGGTGATCGAAATTCGAAAAAGCAAATGTGTTTAAGATTTCCCAAAAAAAAAGATAAATGATAAGTTAAATCATGTCTGTCATGAATGGCGTTGCTATGGGTTTGTTTAGTTACATTCATTTGTTTCAATGAAACGTCAAAGTTGTTACTTTTCAGAGATAAGAGGTAAATGGCTAAATTTTATGTTTAAAATTATAAATTATTGTTGTTCTTGTGCTCCTTTTACGTTTATATTATTGTTTCGATTGAAAATGGCTCAGCAAGCTGCAGGTATGTATTCTACAAAAACATATTATTTATTTTGATATTCTCTATACTAACAATTTTTTTTGCAGCTAAAAGTTAGGCGTTCAGAAAATTTGATTAAATTTGTGACATTTTTATTATACTTAGAGATTTAGTTGCGCATTTCGAAGAATTCAGCATATTGTCTATATACGTTTTACTTAGTAAACATTGGGCTTTCAGACAGTAAAATCAAATACTGCGACTTTTTGCGACTTTGCTGATAAAATAAGAAAAACATTCTTGGTTTCCTCTAATTTGCAAATCAGTGATATACTAATGCGAGGTGTAAACCGCGATGGCATTGTTGTGTACAAGGCGATCGCATTAGTGCCATTGGCAGCATAGCACAATTTGGCATTAGTAGCGGCATTAGTGATATGGGAATTGGTCGCGGATCAGTCGTAGCATTAGTTGTATTAGTTGCGATATTACTACTGGCATTAGTGGCATTGACCGTGGAAACACTGGAACAGTGATTTTTCTTTCTTTTTTTTAGAATCGACGAATTATCCGTTATTTTGTTCATGATATTTCCTCTTTAATTGAAAATAGCAATAATTTATATAAGGTCTACATAAAAAAATGTCGATCAACTATCGGTGTCAAATACCCCACTGTGCGACGTCCCGTAATCCTGCTGTTAAAACAAAACATAATAGCTGGTTTTTATATATTACAACAATGTAACACGTCGTTGCAGCCGCCCTCAATTGTATAAAATTATAAAGACAGAAATGCTGATTCATTATAATATGTATATTAAAAAAAATAAGGTATTGGGGCCAGTGGCCCAATGCCGAATGTTACGGAGGAACCTAACATTTCTAGTTACGCTACTGATAGAGAAATAATAATTTAAAATCGATCGGACATGTAGGGTTTGTTTACAATTTGCGCGCCCTTTTTATATTACGCACGATTCCGCATTGGCGCCCTGAATCCGGGCCTGCACGACAGGACGAATAGTAGCAGAAACACGCTAGCATTGGCGCGAACGCCGCGCCGCTTCTATCTCAGACTATCAGTTCGAAGTCGACTGTCGTTATTCAGACGCGTATTTCGTTTCGTGTTGTGGTACGCCGCGACCAAATTTGTTTATTTGCATCGAAAATACAAACAGAAAGTGCTACAGTCCGCCTGTTTTTTAGCGACGATGACAATGTCGTCGAAGCGTTGTCCGTTCTTCTGTTGTTATAGTTGTTAAGTGCACGATCGGATATTTTTCACGAGGAACATGTCGGTGAAAAGTTCTGGTTCTCACGACGGCCCGCCGCCTTCCAACGGCGACGTGATCCGTTCCGGTGTGCTCAAGAAGATGAAAACGGCGCGCAAGAAGTTCTTCGTTTTGCGCGCGGAAACCAACGAGGCCCTAGCGCGCCTCGAGTACTACGACTCGGAGAAGAAGTACAAGAACGGCTTGCCGCCCAAGCGCTGCATCCCGCTCAAGACCTGTTTCGATATCAACAAACGTCAGGATACGAAACACAAGCACGTTATCGCGCTCTACACCAAGGACGATTGTTTTTGCATCGTCCTGGACAACGAGGAGGAGTTGCAGGTCTGGCTCAAGGACCTGCTCACGCTGCAGCACGGTGAAGAGATTCCGGAAGGAGAGGTGCTCAGACCCAAGTTCGGTGAGTTTGGGGGCGACCACGTTGCCGGACTGTCGAGGGAAAGACGCGTATGTTATTGTGCGTCTATTTGGGCGATGCGATGATGCTACCGAGAAAATCTCCTCTCTGCGTATATGTTTCCGTCTCGGTTTGCGTGCAAGCGAGACGGGTTATGTTGGAATGCGGAGAATTTTGTTGTTTTTTTCGATGAGCATTTGCGCATAAATATCCAAATTTTGGTAATCGTATTTTTTTAATCTCATTCGTCACAATCATATAAATCAAGAATATGTGGAAACCCAGAAGTATACATACAAAAAATATAATGAAAATTAGATGTTTTATATGCAATCACATTTATTGAATTTATCTATGTTCGAAAGGTTGAGGATGATGAAGAAAACCATTTAAAGTATTTGTTGTTTGTTTTTGAGATTCCTTATGTACAAAAAATAGAGTAGAAGTTCAATATTAGATGAAGAAATTTAGGGTTTTGACATGGAATTTTGACTGCCGAAATTTGTTTCCCACAATAAAATAAAAGGAATATAAACACAATGATATAACTTAAAACTAAATACAAATAAAATTCAGCTGAATAACGAACATAAATAACAGAAGAAAACAGATTTGGTGGGAAATGGAGCGAAATTAAGAACATAAATATTAAGTTCTGCTCCTCTATTAAACTCCAGAAAAAAATTAAAAAATTTTCTCTTATCACAATAATACAAGAAAATAAATATCTACATGATAAATAGGAAACCAAAATGCAAACAATCGTGAAATTGGAATTAAGTAATAAGAAAAACAACACAAATACTTTTACTCTTTGCATTGATCTTCGAAAAGTTATAAACGAGCCCTAAAACTGTGAATTGGTACCTGAATATAGGTCTTCGAGACCGAGTATCTGAAAGGCGTTTCTTAGAAGGAGGCTTTATGGTAAGGTAGTGATACCTACATTAGTTTTATGATGGATATTAATACTGTGAGATTTGTGTGCGAGCTTAATTGTATTGAAGAGATATACTGGTTTATGCGAAATCAATATATTGCACTATATGTATAATGATATTTAAAAGAAATCTATTTATTCAATCAATGTGGCATTTTAAAAGTGTTTATGGGCTACATGATTAAATTTTCGAAAACCAAATATATATATACTAGGACAGTAATTTTATATTTTCCGTACTCTGTATGTATCATTCATACCTAATGAGTGATAAAACTAAGGTATTGAATAGATTGGCTTAAGGCTGAGAATACCCTGTGGATAGATGCAGATATAAATGTAGCTTGTATATGATATTATGATCAACTATAAGACCTACATTTTTGGCTTCAGTAACAATATAGAGACTGACATTATTTTTATATGCAGCTAATTGGCATATGACATAACTGACATAATTGATCATACCATTAACATTAATAAACCAATTAACATAACTGATCATAGTAAGCGAGAGGTAGCCGACGCTCTATATAGAGTATGGCACTGTAAGAAGAAGATCATAGTAACAATTTTTACTTGAAAACATAACAGCTTGTGAATAATCATATTTACATAAAATGTATAAAAATGACACTGTAATTCAAATGGTGTACTAACTAAAAGATTGAAGATGGTGAAAAAATATCCCTGTATCACATACAAGAGGTACAGCGATTGTTTAATTCAGATAATTTGATACACATGCCCATTACAGTTTTCTTCGTAATTTTATTAGGTTGAGGTTTAATTTCTTTTATGTTATATGTACTGTTTAGCACAATACAAGAAGCGTTGAGGTAATCAAGGATATACTTTATTATCATCAACAGAGAATGTATTCATCTCTATTAAAATAGATAACACATCGGATGCATAAATATATCAATCCCTTATTGCCAAAAGGAATTAATCAATAGCAACATCAAATACATAACTAGCTATGCTGCTCTTCTATTCACAAATTCAGAATAAAGATGTTTTAGAGTAGGCAATCCAAAATAATTACCAATAATATAATTATCAAATTACACTCTGCAGATTAAAGATTGATTTGTACATTACAATATGGTATTTTATTTAGTGTTCAAAAATAAATAAAATAAATAATGGTCTACACCACAAAATATAATATGTTACCAAAAAAAAACATGATTAAATTATAAAAATGTTAAGAAAAAAATTAATAACATAGTATTCGAGAAGATCTTATAAACGTAGATGACATAGAACAATTTATAAAAAAAAGAACAAAGCCCTCGATACCACCTGCCGAGGGAGAGTTTTAAAAGTCTTCAAACTGTTGCAGATGAAGAAGGACGCAACCAACAACTGCCACGAAGATAAAACCTACTAATAATATTGTTGAATTGTATAATATTTTTGTAACAGTTGTATATACTTTAGTTAATAAATAGTTATATGTAATTTCAATATTCCTTGGCAATCTTCGTTTTTGTTCTGGCCAAGTGATCTGTTGAGTGCCATTTGTTATTTGCTTCTTTTTTGCACTTCATTTAGAACGTCCAACGTTCTTTACGCTAGTCCTATCTTGATATAATTGATAGAACGTATTGGCTTTTAAATTCTCTTTTGAGCATATGGGAACCAATCCAATCTTAGGACATTGTTCATTTTTCCAAAAACTATCTAGGTTGAACGTAATTCTTTATGGCACAAATATTTGCTGGAACGATATTTGTTGAAGGTTATTTTCTCATTATGGGAACTGTCTCAATCTGACGGATTGTAGATTTATAGATAGTATAAGAGGGAGAGGGGAAGTTAATCACCGACCTTATAAATCTATCGTACAGTCTCAGAGCTTTGACAAAAGCCAGTATCTGAGATGGTTTTACAGAGGTTAGTTCTCCATCCCCAATATCAGTCGTACCAAAGTTTATTGCACTCGACACACTCAGTGATAAAATGTTCTGGCGTTTTCCCATTTTCTCAACAGAATGTGCGAACAGTGAATTATTATTTGCCCTTGTTTCTTAGCTTCAATCTACTGAGATGTTTATTTTACTGAAACAGCAACATGTTAAAATACGGTGGCAAAAAAAAGATTTATCTTACTGCTTATTACACTTAATCAAAGATTTTTCTCGATTTAAGTAAGATGAATCAGAATCTTTGATTTTTCTCGGTCCTAAGTCCTGAGAAATTGATGAGTCCTTGAGTCCTGATAAAAAATCTGGCGGATAAACCCCAAAGCCATTATTATAGTAGTAAGTCATTATATTCCTCAAATATTTATACTTTTGGTGATATTTTGGTATTACACTATTAGTGGAAAAGAGATTATAATTAGGGCAGCTTCAATGATATATATTCCTATAAAATTAAATCAGAGGTCGAGAATTTCTACTTTACAATTTTTGTTATTATTATCTATCAAATCCTGTATAAATGCATGCTGATTATGATTCAATTAGGATTTTTAATCGTTTATCAATCGCAACAGAACAAATATTTGCAACTATTATCAGAAAGGAACATATTATTTGAGTCCAATCAGATGCATTATCTGTATCAACACAAACAATTATTATGCGACAAGTGAGAAGTCTTGATTTTTAACTCACATCTCGATATCAACTTATCGAAAATCAACAACTAGTTGTTTGATGTGGAACTCTTTAAAATTATATTGCACGTTGCTTTAATATGAATCAAGAATTTACTTTAACATAATAATATATTCTTGGCATGACAATAAAGAGGAAGATGTCATGTACGAGCCCTAACAACAATATGTTGGGACAAGGTCTTTTTTTGCAATAAATATAGTAATTTGTTAAAACGACTCAATTTATTTTGTTTATTATTCTAAATTCAAACATTACAATATGATCTAGACAAGTTTACTATATTTTTATAACTTTGTAAACAAATCACTTTTGATAATAGCTTATTTTGCCAAAATCAAGCCAAATTTGCTGACAACTATATATTGGGACAGCACAACAAAAAATTTGTTTTATACGGAGTTACATCACCTTTCGCCTTAACAACTGCCCGAACTCTTAATGGCATTGTATTTACCAAAGATTGGCACATTTGAGGAGAAAAATTATCCCAAATTTCCTTCAGATTTATCCGCAAATCAAAAATTGTTCATTGAGGGTGGTTTCTTAAATATTGCTTCATTTTATGCCACACAGTTTCTATAACATTGAGGTCCGGACTACTTGCAAGATGGGATAGAACTTTTATATTATTATTACCGAACCAATTTTTAGTTGATTTTGCTGAATGGCACGATGCTCCATCTTGTTGGAAAATATAGTCTTCGTTTGGAAACAATTCTTGAGCACTAGGCAAAAGTGAGGTCTCAAGAATATGTTGATATTTTTGGGCGTTAACAGTGCCATCTATAAAATTTAATTTGTCCAAACCTCTTGCTGACATGCAACCCCAAACCATAATTCCCTTAGGAAATTTAACAACCCTCTTTAAGCAATCTTTATACTTCTGCTTTATTTCGTATTATTCGTTTTCGATGATCTCCAACGCAAACATCAAATTTAGACTCATCACTAAATATGACCTTATTCCAATCATTTTGTGTCCACGATAATTTAGATTTTGCCCAATTGTAGCGATTTTTCTTTTAAATTTCTGTCAGTAGCGGTTTTTCTCTGGCCTAAATAAGAATTTGTATCAATAATCTTCAGATAATTGATTATCCACACAAAATAAAAGTTTACCTTGTAAAACCCCAGACCGCATTTATGGATATATTTTCGGCAACATTCTCTTATTACAGTTGAGGGTTGGAACCTTTGGTGTTACACAGCAAAATAAAACACTAAATCACCACAATACACCAAAACACTTTTACTTTTACACTGGACGCGCGTTTCGCTAACCATGTTAGCATCATCAGCAGATGATAAACTAGTTTTAGAGTTTATAAAAATCTGCTGATGATGCTAACATGTTAGCGAAACGCGCGTCCAGTGTAAAAGTAAAAGTGTTTTGGTGCATTGTGGTGATTTAGTGTTTTATTTTGTTTTGT